GTCAGGGTTTGTCAGTCTCAGAGAGAGACATCCAATTCATTTAGTTCAATTCAATTTTAATCATGTAGCTCCCAATCACAGCAACAGTCAGACAAAGATGGCTTATCCAGTCAACCCTGGAAATGTGTGGGGGTTGTGTTCCTAGATGTGGTCAATGAAAAGGCCATGAATGCCTATTTCTATAGTAGATCTGCCCCTGTGCTGGATGTCCTCTTTCTAGGAAAGCTCACACACACACACAGTTTGTTTTATTTTTGTTGGGACAAACAGCTCATCCGCAGACAGACTGAAGGAGAGAGAGATCAGATTCGTGACCGGCTGATTAAAAATTCATTTCTGCTATTTTGGCTGACAGTCAAAAGTCTGAACAAGGAGAGGAAACAAGGAAAAGGGGGACGAGGCGTGCCTAAAAAGTTTGGGTGTTTGTGATGGATCTGATAGGACACGAGAAAACTTTTAGAAAGTGCAGAAGGCAGTGAGAGTCCTGCAGCCAAAGCTGATGATGAAGGCAGAGCATGACTGTGCAAACTGAAGCATCAGTTATTTCATCAGATATAAAATCCAGTATGGAAATACTGAATAAGACAGTCACATGGCAGAAACAGTGTACATTTAGCCACGTAGAGTCAAGACGACCTGCTGAAGCTCAAACTGAGCAGCAGGTCTGAGTAGTTACAGGGGACTGTTAAAAAAAAAAGAGCAAATATCCAGTGAGCAGAAACTCTGTGTTAATGTTTGATGTCAGAGTGACTCAGTAACTCAAATAACCGCTCGTTACAACCAAGATATGCAGAAGAGCATCTTGAACTGTAGACAGACCACACCTGTCAAATAACAACAGGAAATTGTGACAATAATTGCAACAGACTTATTAAAACTGGTGAACAGATGATGAAATCTAATTTGCTGGTGTGATGAGTCTCAGTTTATCCTGCAACATTCAGATGGCACGCTCATGCAAACATGAAAGCAAAGACCCATCGTGTCTCTCATCAGAGGTTCAGGCTGCCGGTGGGTGATGTTGGGCATATTTTCTCAGCATACTTTGGGTCCCTTAATACCAACTAAGAATTGTTTAAACACAACAGCCTACCTGTGAATCGCTGCTGACTAGAACCACGTGATAGCTGCTTTCAGCAGGATCACACCGTGTCCCAAAGCTCAGATTATCTCAGACTGCTTTCTTGAACACGACGATGACTTCCCTGCAGTCCGGAGACCTCCACAGTCACAAGATCTCCGTCCAGTCGAGCACGTTTGGGATGTGCTGCAACAGGAGAGTTACATGACGGATGCAGCTGACAAATCTGCACTTACTTTGTGACGCTGTCATTTCAACATGGACCAAAATCTTTATATTTAATCTCTGCCATGAAGAATTAAAGCAGCTCTGAAGGAAAAATGGGGTCCAGCCTGTTACTGCCAAGGTGTACCTAATGAAGCGTCTGCAGCGTGTTTACAGTTACATTTGATTTAATTGGAGCTTTAATAAGAATCTATATGTACAAAAGTAAAAGCAGCATCTTTTATTGCTTTAGTTTTTTATTTTCTTTGTTAGACAAGCAAACAACAAAAACCCCACAAAGCACACAAACCAACCAAACAGCAGTGATCTCAAACACAAGCTGACTTTAAGGCAGACGCCAACAGGAAGCAAACTCAGATCCTGACATGCTCAAGCAGATTTATAAAAAAGGCAGAGACACGAGACGGCAGAAAGAACTTCTGAATTCTCAAAAGTCAGAAAGATTTTCACTTAGATTAACTTCTAAAGTAAAAAGTCTAATCTGGAGTTGCTGAACTAAAGCAACATTTCAT